AAGAGGGTAAAGGGGGAATAAATGGTGATGGAAGGAGATCTGACTGGGGTGGTGGACACACAATACAATATACAGATGATATATTATAGAATTATACACCTGAAACCTATGTAATTTTATTAACCAATGTCAACCCAATAAATTCAATTAAAAAAATCCAGAAACTATAAAATAGTCTTTGAGGAAATATTTAACAGACTCATGAATTATACTCAAAAGAAAGACAAATTAGTCAATACAAATATAGAGGAACAACTTGCATTTTCTAAACTTTAAAATTTTTTTTTTATCCTCACCTGAGACATCGATCAGTTGACTCCCATATGCAACCCCAACAGGGAATCAAACCGAAACCTAGGTATGTACCCTGACCAGAATGGAACCTGAAACCTGTGTACCAAGTTGGAGGTACAGGACGACACTCCAACCAACTGAGCCATCTGGCCAGGGCTCAATTTTTTATTTGACTTAATTCTTAATTTCCTATATTGATAGAAATAGTAAGAAACAGTTTCACACAGTCAGCAACCTACCATTTTGTAAAAAAAGAATCCAAGTAGCGAGGTCACTTGGACAGACAGCATTTAGGAAAGCACACTTATTCAAACCATATTCTTCCAAGTAAATATGTACGACATTCCTACTCTATTGTGTCAGCTTTAAACACAAAAAACCACAGTCACCTCCATGATCCCATTCCCCATTACTTCAATACTGGCTGCCCTAATCTTTTAGGACACATCAAGCAAATAAATTACTTTATTTTTCAAACTCTTATTCCTAATGCCTTTACTTTTTCCTTTCCTTTGGTTATGCAGCTTAAAGAATAAACAAGTTATCATAGGAACCTTCATTTGTTTCTAAAGTATAGCATTTTACTAATGTTGTTTTACTGGATGTGAATTAAAAATTATGTCATTTGGTATAATGTCTTTTACATTATCTTTAATGCTTGCTCTCAGATGACTATTAAACTAAAAGATGCAAAACTGCTCAATCTTTCTTCTTTTTAAAAAATGTATTTTTATTGATTTTAGAAAGGAAGGGAGAGGGAGAGAGAGATAGAAACATCAATGATGAGAGAGAATCATTGATTGGCTGCCTCCTGCATGCCCCCCAACTGGGGGTCAAGCCCACAACCCAGGCATGTGACCTTAACCGGAATCGAACCCAGGACCCTTCAGTCTACAGGCCGACACTCTATCCACCGACCCAAACCAGCCAGGGCTTCTTGTTTTTTTAAATTTATCTTTATTGTTCAAAGACTTAGAGATGTCCCCTTTGTTTTTTTCCCCCCACTGACCCCTTCCACCCAATCTTTCTTCTTAATGATTTGAAATCTCAATAATTTCTATGTTCACTACACTTTTACATTTTATTTTGCAGTAGAGTAATATGAAGTGAACATACTTCATGTAATGCTACGTTTTCTCTCTCACTTGATATTTCTTAGTTTATTCCAAGTATCTACCTCATGAGTAATGTGTGCAAGACCAGGCAGGCATTGTTGAAAATGCACACATTTTTTTTTGGCCTCCCCTTAAGGAGCTTACAGACTCCTGGGAGAGATAAGAAAAGTTCATAAATAGTTTTAAAATAAGGTAGCAAGTGAAAAGTACACAAGAAAGATAAAGAAAAAGACAATTCCCAGGGGTTGGGAAGACTTTTGAGCAGCAAAGTTCTATGACCAGAGGTAGTTTTCAGAAAAAAAAGAAAGAAAGAAAGAAAGAAAGAAAGAACGAAAAAGACTAGTTAAGAGGAGACTTATTAGGAAGTTGCTGGAAATGTTCAGGGACCTAGTAATTAAGGTCTGAACCAGGAGTGGGAAGAGAAAGGAGAAGACATCTCACATCCATATTTCTCTTTTTCTCTCTCTCTCCCTTCCTCTCTTTCTAAAATCAATAAAAACATATCCTTGGATGAGGATTAAAAAAAAAAGAATGACTAGATAAGGGAGGAAAGGAGGGAGTCAGGTGACCTAACTTTTACAAATGATGCTAGAATTGCTGAAGGTCATAGGAAACTACATTCATTCATGTCTACCTCCCACAGACATCTAGTGAAAACATGACAGAAAGCCAAGAGCAAAAGGAAGTCAGCTTGGTGGAAAAATACTGCCTAATCTCAATACTGAACTCATGAAAATAAGTTAGGTAGCAAAAGGAATCAGTTCAAATAAATGTGTTAATCTCCCCCCCCCCCCCACCAAAAAAAAAAATCTATAGTACAAAATGCAACTATCAGTCAACACTGGAATTTAAGCAAATACTTAGCTTTAAAATTGTTACCTAGTAACAACTTCCTAGTAAAAGCATACACCCTTTATCCTAGTTGGAGAGCACATGGTAAAGCAATGAGAGCCAAGTATTTTTTTTCACTCTTCCTGCTGATAAACTTATTCTACCAAAAGAATAAAAAACATACTTTCTACCTAAGTCTCAGGCAATCTTAAAATTCAAATACCCATTCATAATTTTTCATTTTACTTACTTTGCTGTTTTAGTTACTGTTACCTTCTCTATATTTTATTGCTCCCATCAAATTGGGGGTTTACAGAATACATGTATCTATGAGGAAATTCCAACACCAAAGTTAGATTAACTTTTGGGTCTTTGTGAAAACTGATTACTGTAAGAACTTTTAAATCACAATCAATAATATATAACTAAAAAGATCTCAGTAAGCTTGGCCGGCATGGCTCAGGGGTTAAGCGCCAATCTATGAACCAGGAGATCATGGTTCAATTCCTGGGGTCAGGGCACATGCCGGGTTGTGGGCTCGATCCCCAGTGTGGGGCATGCAGAAGGCAGCCAATCAGTGATTCTCTCTCCTCATTGATGTTTCTCTCTCTCTCTCCCTTTCCCTTCTTCTCTGAAGTGAATATATATGTGTGTGTGTGTGTGTGTGTGTGTGTGTATGTATGTGTGTGTATATCTATCTATCTATCTATCTATCTATCTATCTATCTACACTAATAAAAGAGAAACATGCAAATTGACCATCCCTCTATGCCCACCAGCCAATCAGTGAGAGTATGCAAATTAACCCAACAAAGATGGCGGTTAATTTGCATACACAGGCATGGAGCAAAGACTGAAAACAGCGTAGAAGGAAGCCAAGTGCTGCAGAAGGGAGCGAAGCTGTGGAGAAGCAAGTGGGGTAGTGGAGACGGGAAAGAAGCAAGCGGGACGACGGAGACGGGAGGGAAGCAAGCGGGGAGGTGGAGACTGGAGCGAAGCCAGCCCTATTCTTGCAGGAATAGGCCCGAGGAAGCCCTATTCTTGCAGAAATTTTCCTGCAACAGGCCTCTAGTATATATATAAAAGATGCCAGTAAAATTATAGCTTACAAATAAAAACCTAATATCTTTAAAATTACTACCAATAACTATTTATAAAGGTATAATATGCAATTTATAATAATAAAATATAAGTCAAAACTAAATTAAAATCACTGGGAAAACAATGTTGGAATATACAAATAGCTAATTACCTGAAAAAAAGAAAGTTAGGTCCCTACATTATATGGTAGGTAAAATATTGTAATAGATTAAAGATTTAACAATATGTATCTATATCTCTATCTATATATAAGCCAAGTGATCGGAATGACTGGTCGCTATGATGCGTACTGAGGCAGCCAACCACCCCCAATCGGTACCCCCACCCTGACTGGGAGTGGGGCTGGCCAGCCAACCTCCTGCATCCCCTCCCCTCTGCTGACCCGGCCCTGATCGGGGCCAGCCGGACCCCACCCATGCATGAATTCATGCACTGGGCCTCTAGTAAAATAATTAAGTCATAAAAATACTAAAAGAAAATAGAGCTAAATATTTACTATATAATTATAAGGTTTCAGGAAGATAATTTTAGGGATTATTTTAAAAGAAAAAGTCTAAGATACTGATATAAAAAATGTAAATTTCTCTATTCTAAAAGTAAAAAAAGCACAATAAACAACATGGGGAAAATACTGACAGCATATGACAAAAGAGATCTCCTTAAAAATGTCAATTAATAAGAAAATGAAAAATATACTAAATATAAAAAATTGATAAATGAACCAGTTAAAGTTTTTTCTTTTTTTATCTGTATTTTCAACATTTTATACAAGAAACATACTTTGTAATAAAAAGCAAAGATGCAGAAAATATTTGATGGCACTGAAAAATGTTCACAGTATGACTTTTTATTTAAAACAAGTCACAGAACAATAAATAGAATATGACTCACTGTTATAAATATTTATAGAGAAAAAGACTGAAGGATGGAGGGATTAATTTTAAGTAGATATATTTATCAGTTGTCTACAATGAGCTGTGTCACTTCATAATAAGAGCACGATCTTAAAAATCAGTATCAAATGTCTATTATATGTGGGGGGGAAACTTGAGCCTAATATGTACAGTATGATCATAGTTTTTATTTTAAAAAGTTTCAACTTTTCGGTGTGTGCTGCCTAAGCGATCACAGTTTTTATTTTAAAAAGATATAAATGCAAAGAAAACAGCTTAGAATTAGAGGATCATTATCCTACTTTGGGGAGTGGGTTTTCACTTTTAATACTTCTAGAATGCTTCAATATTATTACTACAAACACTTATGTAACTTAAAAGATGAAAATCTGGGAAATATAACAGAAGCAAAGAGCCTCAGATTAATTTTTTTTTAAAAGGTACCTGATTTAAAAAGAAAATTACAAAAAATTCTCTTAAATTGTTATATATTTGCATTGTGAAAACCTTAAAACAAAACAACAAGGTGTTTTAGCTGAGTCTGAGTTGTCTTGTCGATGCTTTCTACATTTCCCTATTCTAAAATCAAGATGATAACCACTTGTATATTTCATCTTTTCTGAATGTTCTATCCCAAACCATGTATAATTTTGTTTTCACACTGGCAGTCTTCTTCAAAGAAACTATTAACAAATTCACCTTAATCCTAAGCTCTTTAGGGATAATTAAAATATTCTATTTATTCCAACCCCCACACTGTTCTTACTTGTGCAGCCTCTGCATGCTCCAGCATCTCTTCAAATTCCTGATACTCTTCATCATCTGGTTCAGCACCTGAGAGTCGAGCTGCTCTGGCCATGAAATACGGAGGCAACTCTCCAATTGCTGTACCGACACCCTATGTCAAAAACCAAAAAAATCACGTAAGATTCTGTTCTCAACACAGTGACACTAAACACATCAAATCTATATTTTTCGATATCACCAAAAGCATATGAAGATGTAGGTATCAGTGAGAAAAGCATATACTAATACATAACTAGGAGGATAGGAGTTTGAATCCTGGCCCCAATACTGACCAAGGCAATGCCAGGCAAGATGCTATAAGACAATCCTGGTGTATTACTGACACTAAATTAATGTTAGTTCTCTTGCATATCTACTTATACTCTAATTTTTTTATAATCCTCACACAAGGATATGTATTTTTTATTGATTTTTAGACAGAGAGGAAGGAAGGAAAGAGAGAGAGAGAGAGAGAGAGAGAGAGAGAGAGAGAGAGAGAGAGAGAATCATCATCAGTTGCCTCCCATTAAGTGCCTCGAATGGGGATGACATCCGTAACAACTTTTTGGTGTATGGGATAAGGCTCCAACCAACTGAGCCACCCAGCCTGAGCTCTACTTATACTCTATTATTTTTGTCATTTCTCCCCCTTTTAAAATATTCAAATGACTTGGTAATGAGCATTCACTGGTATAGCTATTAGACAAATATTTTCTAGGAAATCTGATATTTAGAATGTCGCTTTAATCCCAACAGAACTTTTTAGTGCAGTGTTAACAAACTGTGGTCAGAAAGCCCCTTGAAAACAACATTAGGATGGATAAATTTTAACTACAGGAAAAATGTTTATATTTCCTTAGGACACTGAGTGACTCATGTTTTAGTCTCTTTGTAGATTCTTGTTTTTGAAGATAAATTTTTTTCTCAACCAACTCAACATATAAGGATAAAAACAAAGGTAAAAGAATCAGGAACTTGGTTTGAACTTACATGGCTCAAATACAGCATAGGTAATACTGCAAGAGGTATACAGCCTCCAGGAAAATTCTCAACTTTGAGCCATCCTTCTCTGCCCTGAGTCAGAGTGAATGAAAAATGCATTTGCTAGTTCTAAAAAGCAACTTTAGGCCTTTCTGTTTGCTCTGTCCTTGACAAGAGTCCCCAAGGTACATAATCAAATTCAAAGATTTTGTGTTCAGTGCTACATTCCAATGTGTAGAATCAATGATCTCCAAGTGAAACTGCACTACCCACATGTGAATCAGGAGTTCTGAAGCAAGAATAAGGCTAGAGTTAGTTAAAAAACAGAGAGAAGGGAGAAGAGACATATATAGAGAAGGATAAAAGAACAAAACAAATCATACTTTACTAAACAGGAAAAGTTAAAGTTAGTCAACTTTGGAGTGTGTTAGTAGACCAACTTACTATTTTAAAAACTGGCAACAAAGAGAAAGATCAATTATTTATCCTGTCTTACCTATATGAAAGATATCTCAGGGTAATTAAATTGCTGATAAGGAGAAGTTTTTCTTTATAAAGTATTTCAGTCAATAACTAAAAAAAAAAGATATAATTGGGATACCCCTATTTTATAACCCCTAATAAAATAATGAACATATAATAATAGTGCTAATATCACACACAAAAAAGACAACCAGACACTACTGCACCTCATGACAGAAATACACAAGGCTCTGAAGTATATTCTTGCCAGAAAGAATTTTTTTTCAAGCCTCTCAATCTAACCATCAACTCAGGAAATATAGGGAACATAGAAACATACTTAAATTATTCCAACTGGAATATAATCAGTAAAATTAGGGCTGTGGGAAACTACACTTGACAAACAATCCAATTTCAATAACAAATAAATTTGAAAAGAAAATCAAAGAAATAAACACAACCAAAAAATTTAAATACTAACTGTTCAACTAATTTGAAGAGACTATTCCTAATTTCTCTTAGGTGTTTTTTTAAAGTCCTATAGTTGATATATTTACAGATGAAATGTGATATGTTATCTAGGTTATGCTTCGTGATAACTGAGAGCAGAATGAGGAGGGGAATATATAGAACAGTATTAGCCAGGAGTTAATATTAGCTGAAGTTGGGGAACAATATGTTGAATTAATAATGTAATTCTATGCACTTAAATTTTTTTCCATAACGAAAAGTAGAAAAGTTAACTGTCATATTTTATTTAAAACATGAACTTCTCTTAAAACTTAAGTCAAATGTTCAATAGTTCTGAAAGCAATCATATGATTCAAATTCATGACAAGCTTCCTTAAAGTTAAAAAGTAATAATGAATTGAAATGAAGTAAAGAGCTACATGTCTTATACTTAATTGACCACACATTACATACACACACACACACTTTAAAAAATGTGTTTTTATTGATTTTGGAGAGAGGAAGTGAGAGGGAGAGAGAGATAGAAACATCAATGATGAGAAAGAATCATTGATCCGCTGCCTCCTGCATGCCCCTCCTGGGGATTGAGCCTGTAACCTGGGCAAGTGCCCAGAATGGGAATCAACTGGTGACACCTTGGTTCATGGGTCGACGCTCAACCACTAAGCCACCTCAGCTGGACTCACTCTCTTGATAGTGACCTCGATGCACAAGGTTTAAATGTTAGTAAAATTCAATTAATCAATTTTCCTTTTGTTACCTAACCTTTTGGTGTTACATTTATGAAATGATTGCCATTATGGCCGGTGTGTCTCAGTGGCTGAGCGTCGACTTAGGAACCCAGAGGTCATGGTTTCGAGCTCGATCCCCAGTGTGGGGGGTGCAGGAGGCAGCCAATCAATGATTCTCTCTCATCATTGATTGGTGTTTCTATCTCTCTCTCCTCCCTTCCTCTCTGAAATCAATAAAAAATATATTAAAAAAATGATTGCCAAATTCAAAATCATGCAGATTTTTCTCTATATTTTCTTCAAAGAGTTTTATAGTTTTAGCTCTTAAGTTTATGTATATGATGCATTTTGAGTTAATTTTTGCCCAGCTTCATTATTTTGCATGTGGATATTCAGTTTTCCCAGCACCCTTTGTTGAAAGGACTGTCCTTATAAATGTTGAGAACAAAGGGAACAAATTTAGACAACTTGATATGTGCTACATTTTTCATATGACCCAAGACCGTTGTCAAAAAAGGAAATATGAAAAGCAAACAAACATTCAGCCAATTAGTCAGTATTTATTTATTATTTTTTAAAATACTTTTTTATTGATTTTTAGAGAGAGAGGAAGGGAAAGGGAGAGAGAGAAAGAGAGAGAAACATCGATGTGAGAGTGGAACATCGATCAGCTGCCTCTTGGACACCCCACACTGGGGATTGAGCCCTCAACCGGGGCATGTGTCCTGACCAGGAATTGAACCAGCAACCTTTCGGTGCACAGGATGACACCCAGTAACTGAGCCACACTGGCCAGGGCAGTCAGTTTTTATTGACATTCTTGTATATGTGAAAAGTCTAACACTGAGTGCTGTAGGGGTAATAAATTTAATGCACAGTCTGTATTTTTTAGGAGCTTAACATTTGTTTGGGGAAGTAAGCCACTGTACGAACCAAGTTGACTAATTTAAGGCATGAATGAAAAGCCAGGCCAAATGAGCACTTCAGACAGTGTGCACTGTGGGAGCTTGTAGGAGGCAGTTACCACTGCCAGTTGGGATGGAAGCTTTTCTTTATTGGCATTGGTGTTAATCCAGCTACATAAATCATTTTTGAAAGAACAAAAGGAAAATAGAAAACTAAAGTCTATATACATAGCCCCTTTCTAGCATGTTCCAAGTATCTCCTGTTATTTTAATAAAAAATTTTTCATCAAAAGAGTAATGTGGTCAAATTTAAAAAACACAGGCAACTAGTACAATGAATCTGTTTCCAGTGTTTATAAAAGAGTAACAGGAAACATGACAATTTTTCCTGTCTTTCATATTCAGCAAGTTCAATGTATGGCACTTCCCTTATAATTCTTTTAAAATGAAACATAACTGCTACCACATAAATGTCTTTGGAAACTCTGCCTCTTCTGTGGGCATAGTATTCATATTCCTCTTCATTTTAGTTAAGGTTTTTAAGTGATCTGTTCCACAATTTTTATTTTATAAGAAACTGTTAGTGAAAAAGTTACAGGTAATATATAACTTAAATGCAAATGATGAATTAAAAAATAATTGAAATGGTAATAGAAAGTTTTGAGCAAATGAACTATTCCTCAATGATAGACACCTGAATAAATTTAAGCACATAAAAAGAGTGTTTTGTATGGGTGAAAATACATTTTGCCAATGAACATGTAGTCCAAAAACTTCCTAAAATATACTGAAGCAAATAATAAAAAGAAAACATCAGTACAACTGAAAGTAAGATCACAATATACAACCATAGAGTCTGATGCCTCCACTACAGTAAAGCTTGGTTTACAAAGAAATGTTTCACCTACTTTAGTATTATAACAATTCAGAGAACAAAATGAGTCCTCTAAGAATAAATACTAAGTATTTAAATTTAGGAGACAGACATAACATTTACCAATCTGAGACTAACATATAAGCACCTGCTGTGTGTTTATCAAATATAAACATTGGTGACATTTTACAAAGTAGTACAGTTGCATCATCCATACTCCTTGTCCCTGCTATTGTCTACTTGGCATCAATTGCTTCATGGTACCTATGGCTTCGTGCTTTCTTTTGAATGTCATTAATGAATAGAAAAGGCTGTAAAGGATTTGTTTTACTTGGAAGTAGGCAGCTGATGACTCCATGAATTAATTATCTACTGACTTGGTATATGTTTGGATTCAAGTTCAATGAGGTACAACAAACTATACAGGCAGATACACTTTAGACAAATATAAGAACAGATATCTTACCCACATGCAGGCCTCAATCCTAACTTTTGAGATGATGCTCCACAAAGAAACGGATCCTTCAATGCCCTCTTGGTCTGGACAAATTCAAAGTAAACATCATTACATAAAAGGGTACGGTCTTTTTTTTTTTTAGTTTTATTCATTTCAAACGGGCCGGATCCGGCCCGCAGGCCGTAGTTTGCCCACGGCTGCTTTAGACAAATATAAGAACAGATATCTTACCCACATGCAGGCCTCAATCCTAACTTTTGAGATGATGCTCCACAAAGAAACGGATCCTTCAATGCCCTCTTGGTCTGGACAAATAATCTGATCAGGATAAGGTGGTTCAGGGAAATTAACTGAATTGCATTCGTAAGCAGCTAATGTAACTGAAGCTATATGCGGACCCTGTAAAACAAATACGAGAAACATAGTTAGAAATATTAATGAAAAGGGAATCATCAATATACATGCTATTTTAACAGTACTTTAATTGCTATATATTAATAGAAAAACCTCAGCTTTAAAAGAATAATAATCTATTTAACTAAATATTTAATGATACAAATGGTAATTTGAAACACTCCTTCCCAAAAGTTCCTCCTGGCTTGCTTTAAAAAAAAATCAGATTTATTGATAATGTACATACAGTAATAGTCATTTTTCTGGGTCTATATTACATTAGTTTTGAAAAATATATTCAGCTGTACAATAGCGAGTCAAGATATAAAACATCTCCATCGGTGCAAAGAGTCCCCTTGTGCCCTTTTGTAGTCAATCTCCCTCCCCCAACACTAGCCCCTGGAAACCATATCATTCTTGGGTTGGTTCTGATTTTGTTTACCCATATTTTCATTTGTAGGTTACATTCCCTTTGATAAAAACTTTCTGTGCTGCTATTCTTTTAGGCATAATTTGAGAATATCACTTTATGTCCTTATAAACAGTTGGCGAAGTAACTACCTCACTTATATTTTAATCATATAGATTTAAATGGGTTAATAATGCAATAAAGCCTTAAACAAGGGTTCCCAAATACACATGTATGCTGAGGTGAGGTTTCTGCAGAAGAATCAAGTAGGCCCTAGTTACTAGGGAGTTTATTTAAAATATAACTTCCTGTTTGGCTGGCATAGCTCAGTGGTTGAATGTCAACCTATGAACCAGGAGGTCATGACTCGATTCCTGGTCAGGGCATACTAGTATGCTTGGGTTGGGTGCTCGATCACCAGTAGAGGGTGTGCAGGAGGCAACCAATCTACGATTCTCTCTTGTCATTGATGTTTCTATCTCTCTCCCTCTCCCTTCCTCTCTTAATTTAAAAAAAACCCCAAACAAAAACGAAACAATAGGTAGGAGTGGGAACCTGCATGCTAATAATCAAGCTCCTTTAGAGTTTCAAATAGGTTATGTTCTATTAGGCTAGGTTTAGGAATCATTGGGAAAATAGTAAATTAAGGCTTAGAAAATAAGCAACCTCGGACTAGCCACTTAACTTCCTAGGCTTCAGTTTGCTCTTCTGCAAGGCAAGAGAATTAGACTCATTTTATGGTTTTATCCACCTCCAAAAACTCCAAATATAATCAAATATATCAATAAAATCCAATGCTGATTTCCAAAGTTCTCATGAAGTATAAGACCTAAAAGTTGTACATTCTTAACATGTTGCTCTAACACCCACGGTATAAGTATTCACTTTAAAGCATAAGCATAACTTCTAGAGCCAGATGTTCTGGTTTAGGCTCTGGCCTCTGCCACTTACCTTCTGAGTCTTGCTTTCCTTATCTATAAAATGGGAATAATAAAATACCCCAGGATCTACATTCTGGGGATGTTGTAAAATTTAAATTAGTCAATTCATATAAAGTGTTCATCCTAGGACAGGGATGGGCACTTCAAAAAGTACCAGCCATTAGGTGTTATGAAGAAAAATACTGTATTTGTAGAATTATATATACATATACACGTGTATGCATATATAAATATACATACAATAAGTGATCTCTGTATATAAGTGTCTTTTAAAATCACATAGTGAAAGAATTTGTGGTTCAAAGACTGCATAAGATCCAGTGAAAAAATAAGACACTAAAGAAATCCTACTGCTATCGAGATAAAATGTTATATAAAACAAAATTTTTTGTTGCATGTTAATGTAAAAAAAGATACTCATAAATCTAAGCTACATTTCTCCCTAAATGAAATAGGTATTTTTGTTCAAATAAAATTCAAGAAATGAAGGTCTACTCTTAGCACTGAATCAATTAGTTATTAGGTTTTTCTGAACCTATGTGAAGAATTTTAGTTGGTTCCTCTTTTTCTTGACTTTTCATTCCTAGAAATCCATAAATAGTAATATTTAAGCTTTAAAAATAATTATAGTATGTTTTTTAAAATAATGCTTTTGAGTATTCAGGTCTTAACAAACGTTAGCCATGAAATCTACAACTGCTCCTTTGAATACTATGAGCATAAGAGATTTCACAAATGGGGGGAAAAAAAGACTATTTTGTAAGCCTAAAAAATAACATACCAAGTTTAAAGTTTGGGGAATTCAGAATCACTGAATAATCAGTAAAAAAATTCTCACTGTACACTTATTAGATGTAATTTAAAGAAAAATTGTAACTTTCACCTTTATTGTTTGAAAACACAAAAGAGAAATGTTATATAAGTAAAACAGAAAAAATTCAAGTTTGTCCATGATATCTCTATACAATTGTTCCCTGTAGATTGCAGGAACAGTCTACTCCTGAGTTCTAGAAATGAACAAAAATTGAACTTTGCTAGGAGATAAAATAATGAGATTTCTGAGTCTAAAAAGGGAAATTTTCAGCAATCTGATGAGAATTTTTTTCCCTAAAGAAAGGACAGTTCATTCACACAACTAAACTGATATATATTTTCCATAACCACACTAGTAAGTCATGATTACTCAGCCTTAGAGGCAGATGTGGTGGTTCCCATACAAAATGAACACAAATAAATTAGCTTCTTGCCTTTTGTTCATTCTCAAGAGTCCATTTAGCCTATACCTGACATTTAGTTCCTAAATATAACTAACCTGACTGAAATATTAGTTACATGAAAAAAACAAAAACTAAAAAAGAAAAAAATATTTTTGATTAGAAGCATTAAAAAAGTAATATATATTCAAACTACCCTTTAAGTGTATTTTCTAAAACCTACAAGTCCTATTACTATGTATCAAATATGAAAGAATCACATTTTAATCATACTAAATGGAGAAACATGGGAACAAACAAACAGCTATAGTATAAGAAGAAAAGACTACCTGGACAGAACCACCATAAGCATAAAGAAACACAATGTTACAGTTTTTATGGGAGCATGCAGGTATACATGCATCTTGGCTACAGATCCTGGATGTGGCTGAGGGTTTTCCACCTCAAATCATGAAGTAACTGGTACAGACTTCCATTCCTACAGCAAACAACTAGAAAACTGGACAAAAATATATGGAACACTTCTTTTTAGACACTGCACCACAGGACTTCTGGCTGCTGAGAGAAGGGATACACATGAGGGTAACCTATGATGACTCTGGCTCTTGATTTGTAGACACAAACCTGACAGTAAAATCTACAGTCAAAGAGGAGGAGCCCATGCACAGCATGGTGGTCTTGCTAAGAAGAGGAAAGAAACAGAATCCTATATAATAAAGAGCTAACATGCTAATTAGACAGAACAGCAGAACGACTGTCCGGAAGACCTTCCGGATGAAGCCAGGGCTGTGAGGGTCGCAGCTGCGAGTGCTGAGCCCCTGCACGAATTTCGTGCATTGGACCTCTAGCATATAAAAAAGAACAAAATGGAACTTCTAGAGCTAAAACTATAATATCGAATAGAAAAATTCATTAGACAGATCATCAACTGCAGAAGAAAATATAAAGAACTTGAAGACAGAGAAGTAGAAAGTATTCAAACAGAGACTGAAGGCTATGGAAGAAATTAACCTCCATAACCTATGAAATAACACCAAACAGTTTAACATACATGTGACTGAAATCCTAGAGAGGAAAAGGTGTGTGTTTGTGTGGGAGGTTTATATGCAAAAAAAAATACTTGAAGAAATAGTCAACTGTTTTCAAGATTTGATGAAAAACTTCAATCCATCAGCTCATTGCTCTAAAATAACTCAACCAATTAGGATCAAGAGAAAGAAAATAAAACACATCAAATTGCTGAAAATCATGATCATATCTTATTAAATTGCTAGAACTCAGTAATAACAAGAAAATCTTAAAGCAATCAGAGGGATAAAAATAACACACGATCTATAGGAAAATATAGATAAGACTTATCAGACATAATTCAAACCAAAATACAATGGGAAAATTTCTCTAAAATGTTTAAAGGAAAAAAACACCTGTCAATTTAGAATCCATGGAAAATATATTTCAAAAATAAAGATGGAATAAAAACATTTTCAGGCAAAAAAAAAAAAAAAAGCCAAAAGAATTTGTTCCAGTAGATCTGCAGTATAATATATGATTTTCAGAAATTCTCAGAAGAAAAGTGATACCAGATGGAAACTTTAATGTACACAAAGGAGTGAAGAGCACTGAAAATATAGAAGACCCTTCCTCATTTTAAAATCTCTTTAAAAAATAACTGGTTGTTTAGAGCAAAAGAGATGACATATATAAAAGTAAAATATATGACAAGAGCATAAAGTATGGGACGGATAAAAACAGTATACTATTGTAAGGTGGTTACATTATATATACTTTAAAAATACTCAATCCAAACAAGGTAGGAAAAGAAGAATAAAAAATAGGTGGAAGAAACATTCTGAGGGTAGACTTAAACCCATCCATATTGATAACTACATTAACTATAAATGTACTAAATGCACAAATAAAAAGCAGAGAGTGTTAGACTGGATTAAAAAGCAAGACCCCAGTACATGACCCAAAAGTACACTAAATAAATGAAAAAGATAAACTACTTTAAAATAATCACAAAAAAGACAGAGTGGCTACATTAATATCAGATAAAGTCGACTTCAGGATAGGGAATTCCTAGAGATGAATAAAGACATTTCATAATGAGAAAGGGCTAATTCCCAGGAAAACAAAACAATTCCAAATGTGGAGGTACTCTTTAACAGACTATCAAAATATATTAAGCAAAAACTGACAAAACTGAAAGAAGAAATAAACAATTCTACAATTATAGTTGGGAATTTCAACGCCCTTCTCTTTTCAGTTGATAGAAGAAATAAACTGACAACCAGTATGAATATGGAAGACTTCAACAATATAAAACACTCCACTCAGCAATAGCCAAATACGTATTCTTTTCAGCAAGAATAGACCATATGCTGGGGTGTAAAATGAGTCTCAGCTCATTTAAAAGAATGTGTCATGTGGCAAGGTAAACAT